GGGGGCGACCCCCCCTAGAGGGGGAACACCCCGAGGAGGTGGGGCACCCCCCACAGGGTGGCCCCCCCACCGGGGTGGGTCCACTCGCATGGGGAACCCAACCTGGGTGGGGGTCCCTTCCGAGGGGTTCGCACCCTCGAGGATTGGATGCCATTTACAGGGTTGCCCTCCCCCACTGGGGGAGCGCCTCCCAGGGGTGTGATGCCTCACTAAGGGGGTGTGAGCCTCGCAGGGGTGTGAGCCTCGCAGGGGGTGTGAGCCTCGCCAGGGGTGTGAGCCTCACTAAGGGGGTGTGAGCCTCGCAGGGGTGTGAGCCTCGCAGGGGGTGTGAGCCTCGCAGGGGTGTGAGCCTCGCCAGGGGGAGTGAGCCTCGCCAGTCTCTGGGCCTGGCTCTGTGCTTAGCTGTCACCATGTCACTGTCCCACCTTTCAAGTCTGGTGAGCACACCCCTTCTCTGAGAAAAGGGTGAAGGTCACAGCATGCAGAAGCTCCAAAACAGGGGGCTCTGGGACCCTGGCAGGTGGTGGAGGAGACCCAGAGGCCCCCATTAAAAGCTGCGGTGCCCCGAGTGCCACCGTTACAGAGGTGAGACGCTGTCCCCAGGGTGGCTTGGGGGAACTGGGACACGAGCCAAGCAGGGAAGGAGGAGGGAGAAGAGCGGCGGGTGGGTGAACTGGGATTAAGACAGTCAACCCACCCTGGCCCCATGGCACCGAGAGCGGGCAAGGCCTCACTGCTTTCCCCTGGGCTGTGCCCTGCGACGCCCCTCCCTGCTGTGCTGGCGTCTACGCTGCACAGAGCAGCGCCGGCATCCCTGCCTTCGGCCTGGCCTCCCCTGCACACAGGCACCTGGCTGCTCGGCAGCAGACAGCCCTACTGGCTGCATCACAGGAGTGACAACAGGTGTGAGTGGGGGGACAGCGACGGAGGAGGAAGGAAAGCAGCGAAGGGAAACTTGGCCGGTTTCATAATTTCGCCTGACACCGCATTTCTCTCTATGCAGAGCGTTCCACTCGATGGTCAAGTGACCTCCCGATTCACCTGCACAATAACCGCGCTGCGGCTCGGTGAGGGCGCCAGTGGCTCACAAGGTCAAAGGCTCGGGGCCCTGGGGACCAATGGCACAAGACCACCTGTGAACACAGCTGGCGTCCTGTAAAAAGTGTGAGAGGACGGCTTTGGCTTGCGACAGAGCACGCCAGAATCTGAAACCCAGAAAGGGGGATTCTGTTTTTCCCTTTTTATGGAAGAAGCTGTAGAAGAGGAGGAAAAAGGTGAACAAACAGAAAACGTTATCAGGACGAAGATGGAAGCAGTTCCACATCCTCGTGCCAGAAGTTTCTTGCTTTTGTTAAAAGTAAAGTCGCCGCCTCCAACGGGCACGTGTCTATCATGGACTCTGATCCCACCCACCGTCTGCATCGCCGATGGATGTACCATCAGCTACTCCTCAGCTGGAGCCACTCAACCACACAACCGTCTCAACGTTCGGAAAAATGAATCATCAAAATGCTAACCAAGCAAGGCATTGTTAGCTTCATTAGGCACACAGCAAAGGCTGGAGGAGAGAGCAGGCCCCAGCCACAGCCGCCTCCACTCACTCAGGATCGAGGAAGAAACAGCGCTTCCCACACACGCACAAACCCTCGCGATTCCCCTCCCCCTCGTCAGCACCGCTAGTCACTGTAACAAGAGCCCGCATCAGGGAGGACAGCAACGCCCCCTCATGGGGAAGAACCAGCCTCACGTCTCGATGGGACCCAGTTACCCAGCTGACCCTGGAGCGACATGCACGAAGGAGAGGCCTCTGACCCTGACCGGCACCAGGCAGGTGTGGGTTTTATCTGGAGAGGGCGCACCACATCTGGGGGACAAAACAGGAAATGCGGGGACACCAAGAGCAGTGCTGTGCCAGCTCCCGATGGAGGAACTGGTCGGGACCAAAGTGCAGCGAGCGCTCCAGCTGCCTCAAGGGAAGTCGGGCCAAGCCCCCAGAACCCGGAGCATGGGCCTGGCTCTCAGGTTCATCCTGAGTGTGGCCGTCTCCTTAGAAAACCAGGCACAAGTCCTGGTGTGGCCCACTGCAGACTTGGTGCTGACTTATGGCCCGGCGTGGCCCACTGCAGACCCGGTGCTGACTGCTGACGGCCCGGCGTGGCCCACTGCAGACCCGGTGCTGACTAACAGCCCGGCGCTGATTAATGGCCCGGCATGGCCACCGCAGACCCAGTGCCGACAGCTGACGGCCTGTGTGCTCACAGCCTGAGGGCTGCAACCCTCCCACAGCCGCTTCCACGGCCCAGGACCACGAAACCAGTGTCCGAGCCTCCGCCTGGGCGCCCACAAAACGCTTCCTGACCTCGGGAAACGGACCACCTCCCGGGACAAATTCACAGGCATTAGCATTAGTCAGCAAAGTGTTGCTGGGAGAGACCAAGTGACTTGCTCGAGCTCCCGTGGTTAGTAATTTGTGGAGCGAAGCCGAGGGTGCTTCCAGGAAACTGAAGGACCGAGTCACATTCCTAACAGAGCTGCACAGAGGCAAACAGTGCCTTTAGGCCAGCGGTTCTCAACCTGTGGGTCGCGACCCCTTTGGGGGTCGAACGACCCTTTCACAGGGGTCGCCTAAGACCATCCTGCATATCAGATATTTACATTACGATTCATAACAGTAGCAACATTACAGTCATGAAGTAGCAACGAAAATAATTTTATGGTTGGGGGTCACCACAACATGAGGAACTGTATCAAAGGGTAGCGGCATTAGGAAGGTTGAGAACCACTGCTTTAGGGGATCAAGTAATCACGCTGTTAAGCCAGAAGCCTCTCAGAACTCTGGTGATGCTTATAAAGGACCATCACAGCCGTGCACACACATCAGCCTCCCCCGCCTCCCACTCCCCCCCTCGGGCTCCCAGCCATGGACCGGGCGCTCAGCAGGTTCTCTCTGTGAGGCTCCAGGCTTGTGCGGAGCGACGGACAGGTTTCTCTGTCCCATGCTGAGTGATGATGCAGCCCACCCTGCATCTTCCTAAATAGCATTATTAAAATCTTAAAAGGAAAATCACGACATCAAGCGTTTAGTATGGCTCTCCCTCAAAACACGCAAGGTGCCCTGTATCACGGAAACAAGCTGTGTCTGCCTATGAGGTAGGAACGGGGAGTCCCTTATGCTTCCCCTCGCAGAGTCACAGGGAGAAAAAGCCGGCCCAGGGTGTGACGGGGGCTCGGGAGGTGAGAGAGGAAGATCTCTCGTCCTTCTCCGGGAACTAGGCACTGGGCAGGCAGTCACCTCGGACTTCGAGGACATTAGCAGGAGCCCCCCAGACAGAGGCGCATGCTGGACGCTGTCTACCGGGGGCCCGCGCGCCACTCCCCAGTCCTGAACCTGAGCCACTTCTAACTGTGAGTAGGGTGCAAGCTCAGACCTTCCCGCTTCAGGAGAGCGGGGGCATTTCGTCCCCATGCTTCTCATGAATCCTCCATGTTCTTGGCTTCTCGGGGAGGGGAAAGGAGAAACAGAGCAGAGAGGGCTCTGAGCCCTGACTTCTAACACACCCGGGAGCCCGAGCGAGTGAGAGCGTGTGGGAGCGCCCAGCAGATGGCACTGCAGGCGCGGAGGAGAGCCGGGAGCCGCGCTGGTGGAGGGAGCCGCGCTGATGGACCCCCGGCCGCCCGAAGGCTGCACCCTGCCCAGGCTCACCTTCTTTTGGCTTCTTCATACTGTAGACTCAGCCTGACCTTTTCAGCTAAATTGGATCTGCTTCTCACAAAAAGTCCATGAATCTGCTCAGGAAGGAAGTTAACTGCTTCTGTTTCTGGGAAGTACGAGTCCTTGGAAAGCTAAGTCCGAGTCCTTGGACAGCTAAGGAGCCGTGCTGACACCGGTGGGAGAGGTTGGGGAAGGCACTGCTCTATAGTCTCCGCAGGGGCAAAACGTGGCCTTTTTAATGCAAACTTGTCTGTCTTTCAAAGACTTTCACAGCATCTTCACACATTAAACTTAAGGTTAAAAAGATCAGGTAAATGTTTCTGGTGCCCAGGAGTTTATGAAGGTGCACACGTCAATAAAATTTATGGACTGAAGCTAATTTCCTCACTTAGCACAGGAGCCAAATTTTCCATCATTTAGCTTCCAGCTGCATACAATGTGAAGTAAATAACTTCAGAAATTAATTTCTCAAACAGGCAGGCCCTCTGTTGACCTCTAACTGTTTCACTGTCACAGCACATAATTCAAAGGCACCTAAGAGAACACGCAAGTCACCGGGGACTCACTGCAGACCTGCTGATGGCACCCGAACGGGACAGCACACCCTGCGGGCGTGGCTCACCTCCCCGGAAATGCTGGTCTGGGACCCGGCGTCCAGGGTCTGTCTGGAGAGGGAGAGGTGAGAGTTCGCGGGACTGGCCCTCAGGTCTGGCTCCGACCTGCCGATGCTCTGGCCCAGGTGAAACCGCTCCTGCAGCTTAGCCAGGCTCTGCTCGGGAAACACACGGGACTCCATAAGCTTAACGCGTAAGTAGAAGTAAATGCAAAGAACGAATCTTCATGGAAGAAACAATGACTTTATTTTAGCGGGGACCTAGCACTTTAAATTATTGAAAAAAATAAGAGCAGAATATAATTTTGCACATACACATGTGACTCTGGAAGTATGCGAGAGCATATGAAATGAGTTATCTTAACTTTCCCAAGACAGCCTGGGCGTTCTTCACCCTGCGAATAATGGGATCTTTATATTTAATTCAGATATTTCTTATTTTTGGAATTTCATTCTAAAGAAGCCTCTACTTTAATAAGAACCACTCATTCACGCAGTCGAAATTAGGGAAGCACGGAATCCTATAATGCAGTCTCACTTGAGACACAGCAAGGAAACATACTTAGCCGGCGTCTCGCAGGGCGCCATTCCACACCTGGACTGGACCCGAGGGATTATGTGGCTCCCGTAATGTCAGATTGGGAAACTGAGGCCCAGAGGTCGCGACACGCAGACGATCTGAGCCCGTCTGTGCCGACTGCACGGCGCTGCGATGGCGACACACTTGGCTGGGAGAGTGAAAGTCAAGTGCACACGCCTCTGCCAGCACCGGGGGTAACAGACTGGGCGGCCTTAGCGGGAGGTGTAAGCAAGCGTAAGGCTGAGAAAGGAAAAACTAGCTAAACTGTCACCAACGCAAAACAAACTCACAAAACACTAGTAAAAATGGTGAGAAACTTAGCAACTTTGTGAAGAACCAACACTTGACCCTGATATTTAAAATTCTCATAATAAGAAATTAGAACCATCAGGTATCTGATACATATTTTTTTACCTAACTTTCTCTATCTTCTTTCAAAGGGATATTTATACAAAATGTGTGCACGAGAGGGACAAGCCTTTAATGGTCACATCAAATGATACGTCACAGAAAAGAACCCAGAAATTGCTTAGTGACGCTGGTAAGTCTTTCCAACTTTTCCATCTGTGCAGCGAAAAGACTAGCATTTTCCACACCTGCCTGTGACGACAATGCACTCGGTCAATCTAGGTCCTGACTAGCTTTTTAAGAAACAGAAGGGCCTAGGAAAGGAAGTCTGAGTGCATTACTGGCACGAAGAGCAGGCCTGTTTCTGTGAAGTCTGTTCTGTGTGTATCCACAGGAAAGGTATCTGTGTGTGAGTGGGTTTTGACATTAAATATATTTTTTACTGTGTGTTGTGGCCAAAGCGGTTTGAAAGTCAAAGATCCTAATGCCACTTTAGCTCTACTGTTGGTTTCTGTATTTACTGATTAATTATTTTATAGGCTGGAGAAATTAAAACGGAATCTTTTCTTTCCATTTAATCTGGCTTGTGTATAAACCCAACATTTATAGGAAGAATCAAAGATGACCTAACATTGCTGACAACTATAAATTTGTTCAAGTTCCATTAACTTTTTTCAAGTGACCTATATTATGTGCATTTCAGAAATTATTGATTTAATCAGCAGGACCACTGTGAAACCAAAGCAAAATACATCCAAATAAAGTCCTGTATGTGTTATGATGGTAAGACCCCTGGGTATGAATTGGAGTCCTGTCACTTACCAGCTGTGTGACTGTGAGTGAGTTACTTAACTGTTCTGTGCCGTGATTTCCTTGTCTGTAAATTGGGATAATAAAAGGGCCCATCTTTAGGTTGTTGTGATAATTAAATGAATTATTTCTATGCAAGGGGCACAGCGATTGCCTGGCACAGAGCCAATACTTTAAGTATTTGTTATTATTACTGTTTTCTTCCCTATTTGATCTCTCAAATTATTTCAAAATTGCCAAAATGCGAAATTATATGGGTTCAAGAATATTTACCTATTTCCAGCTAGCATTTTGAAAACTGGCATGAAGTAGCTGAATATCATATTTAAGTTTAGAGGTTCTATTAGGAAAGCAAACATCACCACTGGTTCTAACATTTTCCCAAAGACATAGACGAAAGCCTCACTGGGCTGGGGGAAAACGCCAAATATCTGGAATACAGAGAATCCTCAGCGCTGGGATAGTCGTGGATGGAGGAGGGAAGAGGAGGCAGAGATCCCTCGGCTGTCTGCTAAGTGGAGACACAGGGAATGCAGACTGCTGATCACTGCATGGGGTGGGTTTTTTGGGTTTCCACACACAGGGCTGCGTCACTGGGAGCTAGACCTGTATGTTGAGGTTCCAGGGGTAGCGAGGGGCTCTCCTGCCGCCTGCAGACCCCCTAGGTGACCACCCAGCCACCCCCTGCGGGGCCAGCATTCCCCACGCCACTCGGACGACCACCTGGGCGGAGGAGCTTTTCTAAGATCCTCACATAGATCCCGCCCCACAAGGCAGGTCTTCTACCTCCTGATGGCAGGTGCCATGCCCGTCACGTGTCCGGGGCCGAGGACCAGTGGGTTAGGTAACCCTGCTGGTCAGGATCCCGCCTGAAGTTTTCGTGAGCCGCAGGGCGCACACGGATGCTAATCTCCTCACGTGGCTCCAGGACCCACCACCCACTGACTCACAGGTCAGGGGCCTCTGGGGCAGCGTTTCCCTCCCAGGCAGTGCGGGAGCCGAACCTTCTGCTCCGGGCCCAGTTCGCACGGAGGGAAGGGTGATGGAGGCCCCCGACTCGGATGGAGAAATCTGCCTCCAGGAGAGTCTCTGGGCCCGGAAGTAGTGGTTGGACTTGGCCAAGTGCCCCATAACATACCTGCATCAGGTCCTGCTTCTCCTTCTCTCCTGAGCTGATGGCCTTTCTGATGGATTTCAGTTCTGTGAGAATGGCTTTGGCCTCACTAAGCTCATAGCCACTCTGGCCTCCAGACATTTTTTTATCAATTCTGTTAAAAGGAAAAAAAAAGAGAGAAGGAAAAAAAGTTAAAGAATGACCGAGTACAAGTTCAACAGGCAGGAGGGACTGGGCTGGGCTGGGTTAGTTGGCTGACTGCTTCAGCCCGTGACTCTCACAGGTCAGATCTTCCTTCAGAGAGGAGCGCTCCTCTGTCTCTTCCAGCCACTTCCAGCCGGGATTCCTCTCACCGCCCGCCTCCGGCCTCCCCCAGGCCCTTTCCCATCACTTTCATGCCTCTTTGCTTTTGGTCTGTTGGGTGACCTCACTGCCAGCAGAACTCAAACCTCATCACAGGCCACCCTGATTGGCTCTGAGAAAGGGCCAGGGCACTGGGAAACGACCTGGCAGAGGAACAAGCACAGGGACTCCGGGGTTCAGCACTGCGGCCGAGTTTACTGTTACAGGTCTGCTACCCCAGCCCGGGCCGCAGCCGGCAGCCGACAGGCCTTCCTACACGGCGGCGAAGTTTACTGCAGCAGGTCTGCTACCCCAGCCCGGGCTGGACTGCAGCCGGCAGCCAGCAGGCCGGCACTGCAGCCAAGTTTACTGCAGCAGGTCTGCTACCCCAGCCCGGGCCGCAGTCCTCCCTTTTAAATATACGAGGTGTATGTACGTTTGTCAGGGTTATGAGTGGGGTAAATTGCTTGTGTGGTTAGTCTCTCCTCCCTTTTAAATATACGAGGTGTATGTACGTTTGTCAGGGTTATGAGTGGGGTAAATTGCTTGCCTTGCTGAATGAGTTCAAGTCCAGGAATAAGGCAGAAGGGCAGGCAAGCTCCCTTGTCAACGGCCACTGAATAGTCTTCAGTGGCTGATGTACTACCCTGTGGGTCTGCTTCCCAAATGTCCTTGCAGTTCACCTGGCCGCCCATGTCAGAGGACGTCATGGACCCAAGTCGTCTGTGTTTGAAGGGCCCAACTGGACGACCCAGTCCTCCTAAGCGATGGTCAGCATCTTCACTCTCCCACTCCCGGCTCTCCCACCACCGGCCCAGGATCCATGCTGGACACAGCTCACAGCCCTCCTTCTCCGCAGTCTTTCCCACAGAGAAGAGCCACCCAGCACATCACAGAACACTGGCTCTCCGCTCACTGGGCTCTTAACATTTAATAATCTATAGTTATTTCAATGTGACAGGTATCATCTGAGAAAACAAAACCAATGCCATCGGATTCACTCTTCCACAGTTCCCTCAAACAAGTAAACTTTGTGCAGACAACATACTTCCCCAAGTGCGAGTTTAGTAAATGTTTTCTGCTGCTAAACAAGAAAGTCTCAAGGACTCTAAGGAAATAAAGTCAGTTTCACCATAAGGCCATTTAAAGATGAAGTGCAGCGAACGAAACCACTGGATGAAGCACGCAGTGTGTTGGAGAACCCTGTCACCTCCTCCGAGGCCAGAGGCGATGCAGACTTAGCCCCGAAGGGGCCTGGACTCACAGCTGCTCAGGGACTCCTCACAGTGACAGCCTCGGGCGTGGGCTCCTAGGACTGTGACACTGAGAGTGTCTGATAAAAACACCGGGAGCACTTAGGGTATTGGTTAGTTCCATTTACGTGGGGAGGGCTTTATCAGTGAAGTCGATGGGTCCCTGAAGTATTAAACTTAGTGGAGGCAAAATTCTTATTTTGAATTTTTAAAAATTCTGCTTGATTTTATGAAATGGCTAGTAACAGGTGTCTCAAACCGTGTCAAAGTAAATTTCTAAAGCCCAAGTAATTTCTTCCTATTTGGGTAAAACCTTCAGAATTCAACCGTAAAACAAATCTCTAATTCAGAAATCAACTTTGACATTTGAAAATAAAAGAGCAACCTGGCCAGTGTAGCTCAGCAGTTGAGCATCGACCCAGGAACCAAGAAGCCACCAGTTCAATTCCTGGTCAGGGCACATGCCCGGATTGCCGGCTCCATCCCTGGTGGGGGGCGTGCAGGAGGCAGCCAATCAATGATTCTCTCTCATCACTGATGTTTCTATCCCCCACCCTTCCTCTATCTCTAAAAGAAAAAAAATCAATAAAAATAAAATAACAAAGCAGGTAAGCTGTTTTCAGAAATAAACTTTACCTTTTAAAAATAAAAGCAGAACGACCTCAAGACTGCAAATTTAAATTTCAGGGAGCTTTACAAATGGATGAACATTTCCTGGCTATCGGCAGCTCAAGCGAATGTTGAATCTGAAAGGCACGCGCAGCCCAGCCCCATCCCCCTGGGCCCGTGGGTCCGTCTCCCCCACTCCTGCCCCTGGAGCCTCTCTGTTCTCACTGTGCCCCCCCCACCCCCAGAGCAGAATGTGGGGGGCAGTTACCTCCACGTCTCTTCCCTTCCTCCTCCCCTTTTCATCTTTTTTCTCTTTTGACCCTAACTGACAATATAATAAAATATTAGCATTATTTGCTGATTTTTAAAACAAAATACTGTTTTTTGTTCTTAATTTGAGAAAAACCATTTTATATTTTCCCTATATATTTTTTTAAACCTTTAGGTTTGTGTGTCCCTGTAATTAATGTTTATCTGTGTCTTAGTCTTTTCTGGAAGAGAAGAAATGGCCATCTGCACGCCTTCCCGGGAAGTAAGTGTCCCGGAGCCAGGCTTCCTCGGGAGCTGTGCTGGCTGGGGCCTCACCATCGCCCCTCCGATCGCGTGAACACGGAGGGGCAGCGCAATATGCTCTTCCTGGTCTCCATCTACACTCACGCTGCACTATCGCTTAGGCCAAGGTCAAATCTGGGGCCACAGAGTGAACGACATGAAGAACTTAGAGGATAAAACCCCATTCACTCATCCGGCATAAACTACTGAACCCAGTAAATGAAAGCCCGGGTTTAAGTTACATGGTAACTCCAGATTCAACAAAAATGTCCCGTTCTATTGTGAATAAGTGAAAAGTTGCAAAAGCCTGCAATGGGAAATTTAAATCTTTTCCTGAAACATACTTTCTGTCCTAACCCAAGTACAAGTCCCTTTATAGCACCAGGAACGTGGCTTCTTAAGAGTATGGTCTCTGGGCTCCATCATTACTATCCAACGTCCTGGTAGCAGGGGGCTGCGGCTGGAATGGGAACAGCTGTACTTTGTCGCCGGGGGAGACGGACAAGGGAGGCTGCTGATGTTAGATACCGTGTCCTCATCCTCCGGCTGGCGGGACCAGCATCACTGCAGGAGAATGCCTGCGTTTTTACAACAAACGGCTATTGTTTTCTTGTGGAATGTTATTGACAGATTCTTAAACATGCCTCAGATTCCTATAAAAACGGAGACAATACGGCTTTGTTTCATCAATATAACGAAGACAGTGAGTTTGGCTAACCTTCACCCCCAGTGGTGACGCGGGTTACACTTTCACGTGCCTGAGAAATGTTTACCGTGTGGCTCAACATCGGGGGGTGCTCTCCCGCATCTGTCTCTCCCCACTCCTGCCACAAAGCCCCCTTTATGCGGCCACGCAACTACTAGCGGCACATTTGTGTCCCCTGGATCTGCCCACATTTCAGGGGGCTTTCAAGCAACGGAACTCTTAGAACAGTTACGTTTAACCCACCTGGGGCTCCTAAAATACACCTGGGGTCAGACTAGACACAGGATATTTTAGCCCCTCGGACCCTATGACTCTAACATGTGCTCATATCTGAGAACCACGAGGGTGGGCGCATTTGAAAGAACATCATGGCCGGGATTCCAGGAGGTGAGTGGGCAGAAAAGAAGATGAGCCACTAAACCAGTGTCTGAAAGTCAAGTCACATGACTGGTGGTCCAGAGTGACTGGGCATCCGAGATACAACTCATCATCCAACACATGAACCATCAGAGTGTGTCTGCCCGGCCATGACACGGGATCTTTAGAAGGCGGGCGCCTTGTAGCTGGGCTGCCCCTGAGGGAGACATGAGGAGGAAGGGGACCCTGTGTGATGGAGGAAAGCCCTGCAACACTGCCCACAGCTGGTGCCCGAGCCCTGCATCACAGAGGGAAGTCCAGGCAGCTGCACACCTTCGGGGGGCAAGGCCCTCCAGCCTCTCTGTGGTCATGGGCTGTGAGCCATGCTTCCTCCTGGCATGGGAGGCCCTGTGGGTGGGGGTCCAGAGGCCCTGTGGGTGAGGGCCGGGAGGCCCCGTGGGTGAGGGCTGGGAGATCCTATAGGTGAGGGCCGGGAGACCCTATGGGTGGGGACCGGGAGGCCCTGTGGGTGGGGACCGGGAGGTCCTGTGGGTGAGGGCCGGGAGGCCCTGTGGGTAAGGGCTGGGAGATCCTGTGGGTGGGGGCCGGGAGGCCCCATGGTTGGGGACCGGGAGATCCTGTGGGTGGGGACAGGGTCCAGAGGCCCTGTGGGTGGGGGCCGGGAGGCCCTGTGGGTGGGGACCGGGAGGCCCTGTGGGTAGAGGCTGGGAGAGATGGGAGGTCTTGGGGGCCTGTCAGGGTCTAGCTAGGCTGGCCTCGGCAGCAGGGGGAACAGTGGCTTCCGGGGCTGGGAATGGGCATGGATTTCTGGTTCCTGCACCCTGCATCTCGTCTCATCCTTCAACCCGCGAAGGGCCTGGGAAGGACGAGGGCGCTGGGAAGTGGGGACTCCTCACCTCCTGTGCTGACAGTCCCTGCTCCCTGAGCTCAGCCCCGGGAGACTCCAGGCCACGCCCGGGTGAGGGGGGCAGAGGCACCCCCAGCCCGGCCGGAGCCCCGGGGATGCGCGCAGGGCAGCCTGGAGGAGAATGCGGGGGGCACGGCCCTGCTCGTCTCTCAGCTCCACACCTCAGCCCTGGAGCAGCCGGCAGGCACCAGAGATGAGCGAGTTTTTCACTGGTTCCCTTGGGTCTCCAGTGAGCAATAAAAACTTGAGCCCTTTTCAAAGGACATAGATTTCCCCGAGTGCCTAGGTTGTTGGCTGATTTTGTTTCTCGGTGCAGAGCTCTGAGCTCTGACCTGTTTTCCTGAGAAATGTCGTGTGGGGTCTGCACTTGTGTTTCCTTTGCACGAGTTAGGGGGCTGGGAGTTACCCCGAGGCCAGCGTCGGGGCGTTATACTCACTGCTGCAGAGTCTCGAAGCCTTGTTCCTTATAGAGCAGCTCCTGCTTCATCTGCGAGAGCTCCCGCTTCAGCTTTTTAACCTTTTGTGAGAAATCAATGTAAATACGCATGTTTGTAAATAATTAGCAACACTGTTTTAAAAGATAACCCATAAGTAAACTATTAAACACACGAACACAGCCTTAGTTGAACATTCACTCTGCTAGTTTCTCCTGGACATAAATTCTGTGCCCGGCAGACTAATTATGTATAAATCATCAGTGACGGACGTTACTGCTGATATTAACCCTCAGCATCTTATTTAGCAGCTTTCCTATGAGCGCGACATCACCAGTCTCCAGCTGGTGATAAACAGCCAGGAAGGGAGAGCCGGGGCTGTAAACCGAGGCATCGCTAACTCTAGGAGCTTGGATGCCTCCTGCCCAGGCTCCAGGACCTCTGGCCACGCCTCTGCCTCTCAGACACGCCAGCAGTGGCGCCTCAGGGCTCCCGCACGTGCTGTCCCCTCAGATCGCCAGTCGCTGACCCCTTGCCACTCAGGTCTCAGCCACACTTCACCTTTCCTAGCCACCCCCTCATGCACTACTCTGTTTCGTTCAGCTCACAGCATTTTTCAAAAGCTACACTTTTCTGTGCCCGGGTTTACTGCCTCCCCGTGGGAAAGGACGCCGCACCACACAGCTGTAGTCCAAGCTTCCAGAGCACGACCAGGCTTACAAATATTTGATGTCAAACTGATAAAAAGTATTCTTTTTCCTCCTGCCAAATGCATGCCTTGGTCATAACAACACTGAGATCTGGTGGGCAGAAAAGCAGCAGCAGCCTGGAGTGGTCAGGCCAGTGGTCTCCACCGGCCGGCACACTTGTCTCTAGGCTAAGGCGCAGCCTGAGTCTCAGGCGCATCCTGTTACACATCATTTCCATGTGCTTTTGGGCTTTTATTTCCTGTTCATTCTACCGATTCCACAAATATTTATTGACTCTCGACTAGGTGCCAGGTCTTGGGTCTGCTGTGTGAACAGAACAGACACAATCTTGACCTTCAATGGTCTTTAAAACAAACAAACAAAACTTTATAATTGTCTGAACTTTCATGGCTGCTTACGGTGTCGTGTTTTTTTAAATTTTATTTTTTCCAACAAACTTTCCCCCCCCTCCCTTTGCCCTCTTCCACTTCCCACTGCCACCCCCCGCCATCACCACACTGATGTCCATGTCCATGACTTCTCTCTCCCCCTTTTGTTCTCACCCCCCACACTGGTCTAGAACCATGGGGCAGCCAGACACCGAGCAAGATCACCCAGTGAGATGAATCTCACCAGCTACCACAGGGACATAGAGGGAACGTTCAGGACACTTCAGGACACAGAGGGGCTTGGGCCCTGATGTGGTCTGAGGTCCCAGACAAAGCCTGCTGAGGAAGTGATGGTTAGGCTGAGGCTCGGTGGGCCTGCCTGTGGCGGGAAGGGTTCTCAGAAGGTAGAGCTTGGGGACAAACCCTCATCCGGGGGAGGGGGAGCTCGGCAAACCTCTGGGGTTCCAGAGGCGGCGTGTGACATGAGGCGGGACTGGAAAAGGAGGCCTGGTTCACAGGGCTTGCAGCCATGTGAAGGATTTTTACTCTCATCCTAAAAACAGTAAGAATCAAGGAGGAATCTTATAGGATGATCTGCTTAGAAGGTCACTGTGAGGACTGGTGAGTGGACCAGAGGGGCCAGCAGGGGCCAGGCACCAGCACTGGGGGTTGGCGCACGGGCAGTGCCATAGAGGCAGAGCCCAGAGGAAGAACAGCGTGGAGGTAGACCAACAGGACGTGGTGATGGACCAGGTGTGGCGGGTGGGGGAGAAGATGTGGCAAAGGTCACGTCCAAGGTCTTGACTTGCCCACTGGGTGCACGAAGGTGCTTTCCTGAAGACTGGGACCAGATCCGGTGGAAAGATCAGGGATTTTCTTTAAGATACTTCCCGGAGACCCAGGAGACTTCAAAGGCAATTGGAACCTGTGGACTTGATGCTCATCAGCAGTGTCTGGACTAGAGATATGACACTGAGGACTTCACTGCTACCATGCAGAGCAGAGAGCAGTTTAGAATCTGGCAGAATTTTTTAAAAACTACAATTATAACAGTTTTAGTTATAATGGCATCACTGTGCTTGTAAGATCCAAGACAAACTGGGATTGTAGCAAAACGACCTAAACAAATCTATGGCCCTTATTTTAGTTTAGGAACGTCATTACCCCTAGATCCCACCCCAACGGAAGACATGAAGAGCCCACAGCCCTGGAGCCTGTGTTGTCTCCCCTGACGTACCAGACTTCCTGCAGCCCCAGCCAACCATCTAATTGCCCAGACCTTTCCTCAGGAATCAGACCTCACAGCCCAGAATGCTGAAGTGGAGGTAAGAGCCTGACTTTTCACACCCCCTGCTTCCATGCTGACTACACTGAAGCAACTGGCACTTCAAATCGATTTTCAAGCTGCTTCTGAAAGCCAGGAAGTTGTGTGATTAAGTGTGATACCGTCTCTGACAACCCTAGTGTAACAAGTTTTACTTCAGAAGAAGGAGAGAGAAGATGACAATGAAGGAAAGAGTACATTCCAGAAACGTGGGATCCTGGAAGGCTCCCGAGACAGGCAGGTTTCCTAAGTCTGCCCGACAGCGAACCCTGCAACGGTAAAGCCGGGGTGAGCAGACGGCCTTTAGCTGATGACCTCCTCCCTCTGCACCCTTTCTCTACGGTCTTGCCAGGGCCCCTCAGCAGGCCAGCACAGGGCCCCTGCCACCTGCTCCTCGAAGAGCCTTCTCTTCCCTTGCGTCCACATCACCTTCAACAGAACACCCTCACCCTGAACGGAAACAAGACATCAGCTCGACAGTCACAGGATTGATAATGAAGACATTTCTGTCCTGACTAAGGAGTAGAGGCAAACAGAATCCCAGGTACTCTCAGAGCCACCTGTGATGACTAATGAATGAATTCAGTCACCAGCAACAGAAAGGGAAAAAAAAACCACAAAGCCAATGAGAAACATTATGTGAAACATTTATGAGATATGCTACTTGAGGTACAAATAATAGATAAAAACATGGAAAGTCAATGCTAGATTTCCACAATTCAAATAAACTAGTCCGTTCCCATAGGACTCAGCATGGCCTAGAGGGCGGCATCCTTTGTAAGTGCTCCACGTGCACCTGAGAATAACACGTATTTTGTTATTTTGAGGTGGCATGTTCTACACATGTTCATTTCATTAGGTTGGTTGATGATATTGTTCACAATTTCAACAACTGTGCTGATTTTGTCTATATATTCTATCGATTACGGAGAGAGGAGTGTTGATATATCCAACTATAATTGTAAATTTGTAGTTCTCCTTTCAGTTCTATGGGTCTTTTTCAGATATTTAAAGCTCTGTTATTCTATGTATAACACTTTAGGGTTATGTGTGTATATCATTATGTCCTTTGATGAACTGACTTATTAGTAGAAAATTTCTAGTAATATCCTTGTTCTAAAGTTTACTTTGATATTAATATGTCAAGTGCAACTTTCCTTGCATTTGTATTTTCATAGTATGTCTTTTTCATTCATTTAATTTTCAACCTATCTGGGTATTTATATTTAAAGTAAATCTGTTATAGCCATCATAGAGTTGGTTCTTATCTTAACCATTCTGATAATCTCTACCTTTTAACTGAAGCATTTAGACCAGCCGTGGGCAAACTACACCCCGCGGGCCGGATTCGGCCAGTTTGAAATGAATAAAACTAAAAAAAAAAAAAAAGACCGTACCCTTTTATGTAATGATGTTTACTTTGAATTTATATTAGTTCACACAAACACTCCATCCATGCTTTTGTTCCGGCCCTCCGGTCCAGTTTAAGAACCCATTGTGGCCCTCGAGTCAAAAAGTTTGCCCACCCGATTAAGACCATTTATATTTAGTGTAATTATTGACATAGTTGGTTTTAAATCTTACTATCTTTATTTTCTAATTGTCACATATGTTCTTTTATACTTTCTACTTCTATTCCTGCCTCCTTTTGTATTGACTACATTTTTAAAAATTCCATTTTATCTCCACTATTGGTAATACCTCTGTATTTTCTTAATAGTTATTCTATGGCAGGGATCATTAAATGATAGCTTGTGGGTCAAATCCACCCTATGGCCTAATTTTTTTATGGCTTATGAGTTAAGAATGGTTTTCATGTGTTTACTACTTTTCTCAGAAAAGTGAAAAGAAAAACCTATGACAGAAACTATATGTGGCCTGCTAAACCAGTTTTCTGTTGCTACAGAACAAAATATCAGAAAATTAGCAGCTTAAAATAACACTCATTTAATAGATCACAAGAAAGGTCTGGCTGGTTCTCTGTTCAAGGTACCCAAAAACTGAAACTGAGGTGTCGGCCACGCCGAGCGCTCACGTGGGGTTCACGGGGAAAATCCGCTCTCAGCTACATTCTGGCTGTTGGCGGAATTCAGTTCCTGTGGGTCCAGGTGGGACTGAGATTCGGTTTCCTTCCTGGCAAGTAGCGCAGGTCCCTCTCAGGGCCTTTTCCTGTGGGTGTAGCCACCTTCAATACAGAAACCATGCCCTGGATGCTCCTTGCACTTTGAACATCTGGCTTCCTCCTCTCCAACCAGCTATAGAAACGCTGGCTTTTTGTTTTGTTTTGTTTTGTTTTGTTTTGTTTTTGTTAATCCTCACCGGAGGATATTCCTTCCATGGATTTCAGATAGCACAAGCCCTGACTGAGTTAAAATTGTACGTCCCTGGCCTGTCTTCCTACAAGAAGCAAAACTGACAAGATCATCCCAAACCTTAAATCATCTTAATGTGTTGTCATACATAAGGCTCTTACTACAAAGTAAGCAGCTGTCAGAGGTCAAATATTGACCCCAAATCAAAACCATTCTTCAGACCATATTGAAGAATCCAACCTATAAGAAACCTAGGTATTATCCTAATCAAGACATGAAACTGGAAAAGTGTGATTATTTTGTTAAAAAAATTATTTAGCAATGTTCAGAATTTGGGCAAGTATCCAAACAATTAAATAGAAATTTTAGAACTAAAAAACATGCAGTGGAATGAAGCTGAAATCAATAATGAAAGATTATTCCCAACTATTTAAAAATTAAGCAGACTCTAATCATAAAGAAGTTACAAAAGTTAGTAAATATTTTGAACTGATTGATAAAAACACAAAATTCAAAAACTAGGAGCTGCAGGCAAGAGCCATGCGCAGAAAGTCATCTGGGGCTTTAAAAGCAAATGTTAGAAAGTAAGAAAGCCCCAAATCATTTGTAAGTATCTGCTAAAGTGAAAGCTATAAATATTTTTTGACACAGCAATTTCATTCCTAGTTGCATAATTAAGAAAAATGTGTACATATGTGTCCCAAAGGGCATGTATAGGAGACATGTACGTTAAGGCACAGTTTTTAATGACCAGAAATTGGAATAAGCAGTAATGCGCATCAGTAGAAGAGAAAGAATTTATGGTATGTACTCCAAGATGGAATGCTTTACAGCAATGAAAGTTTATGTGAATGAATCTCAAAGTGTTGCTGAGCAAAAGAAGCCATCAAATAATATATATGGTGGCATTCCAGTTTCACAACGTTCAAAGCAGCCAGAAAACTGACCCACAGTGTTGATGGGTCAGTTACCTTCAGAGAGAAGGAGGACGGCCATGAGGGGTCATGGCAGTCATCTATCTCAGGACATAGGTAATGGTTCCATGGATTTATGGATGTGGTGAACAGTGTTTATGACTCTAAAAGTCAAAGATGAACAAGCTCTGGCCTTAACAGCAGTTTGGTCAAAAAGATTCGGGGTAAAGATGGGGACACAACCATGAGAAGTGTTGACTAGTCAGTTCTAGAAAGAAGCAACTGGTGACGGAAGATGGGCATCTTTAAATTCGGGACATCTGATGAAAGGGCAGCAAGGCTCAGCTCCGGAAGTCACGTCAGCACGATAAGGGAAGGGAAGTTACCGAGACTCCAGTTTTGATTCGATGTACTAACTGCCAATCATAAAACTGCCCGACAATGGAACGCACTGGGTCTCAGGAGCAAGGACATCCCAACCACAGGAACAGTTCCAACAAAGGCGGAAGGAAACACCAGCCGCCGGGGGTACGTGGAGGAGGCTCCTGCACTCGATGGACAAGGCAGGCGACCATGAACGCCTTTCCCACCTTCAGCGTCTATGCAGATGCTCCACGTATAGGGTGTCCCAAAATTCACGCAAGATTTGAATTTTGCGTGAGCATTAACAACAACAACAAAAAATAAAAGCCTAATTTTACTTGGTTTATTGAATCAGATTCTAATATCTGTTGCCCTTTGATTTCAATCCCTTCAATTTGATAAGTATTACCAAGTACCAGTTATTGCCCAGGAGCAGGGACAATGAAGACCAATGAAGACCATGGCTTTGCATTTGTGCCAGCAAAGCCGTGGAGGCCATTTACCCGATGTGCTATTCTATACATAACCCTATACTGTATACTTTATGAATCAATAAAAAAATTTACAATTTTTAATTATAAACCCGTGTTTTCTATCAAAATTACTTCTTGGGTGAATTTTGGGAATTCTAGAACCACAATAAAACATCTTACCCTCAATCGCGTGGTGGAGATCTCCGCTTTCAAAATGTCAGGATCGTACTTAGTACTCGAGGAGGATCCTGAGAACACTTTCCAAAGAGAGAAGAGAAAAGCAAGGCTGCATCACCGGTTCTCAGCTCAGAATTTACAAACTAAGAACAGGAGTCACATGCTGCCCTGGTACTTACTTACTTTATCATTTTGTTATTGTCATGCATCAGACACCTACATATAAAAAGTAATCTTCAAACCTTCATAATTTAAAAATAAAGCCTCAAGAAAGACACATGTCACAAAGACCCTGGTACTTCGTTTTCTTCTGGGTTTACCCCAGTGAATAAAATCTTAGCGGTCCCGGTGGCACATACAGTTTACCAGGCTCATATTACCCAGAAAGCCACCATTTCAGGGGACTTCTGAGCCCACGGTGCTGCTGCTTTCAGCACGGCCAGCCCAGGCGCCCCGTTCTGGAGATGAGGGAGAGCTAAGTCAACGCGGTGGCCAAGGGACACGTCATCCCAGCTAAGGGCTCCAGTTCCTCCCACTACAGATAGTGTAAGAGTAGCAACAGGGCTGCTGACTAGCCTTCATCTGAAAGGGTACAACGAACTCAGAAATAAATAGAAGGCCAGCAGGCAGAGGGGGGGCAGAAACAGACAGGATACGTGATCCCCAGAGGAGACTTCATCTGGAGTGTGGCCGAGGGCCCGCCCCACTCCCCGCCGAGAGGGAACAGGCCCCCAGAGGAAGCCCCACAGCGCCCCAGTGGCCCCCCATCAGCTACCGTTGGCCCCCGGTTCCCGTGAGCAGCCACACTGCACTTACAGCTTGTGTGGGAGCTTGACTTCTCCTTATAGGCGTCGTTCAATCGCACGTATTCATCGAGGGCCAGGGCCAGCCTCTGCTCCTTCACGTGGTACAGCTCCTTCTGCGTCCGCAGGGCGTCCTGAGCCACCGAGAGGTAGTCCTTGAGCATCTTCTCCTGCTCCCCCCTCCATTGCTTCCTGGGGTCTTCAATCTGTGTGGTTTCTGAAAGCACATTGGGTGGGTCATTTTTTAGCATCTCATTATGCTTTATTATTATTATTTAAGCTTTTTAAAAAATGGCTAGCTTTAATTCTTACAGTCTCTAAATAATTCATTAGTATATGCGAAGGGACTGCTACAGGAAGTGGACACAGTTTTTGTTTAATTTTGCCCAGTCCCTCCCCACGGCCTCGCCTTTCAATCCATCAGACACAATTGTCACAGTAAAAACGCCCACAGCGGAGATGGGGTCCTTCCTCTCAGAGTTCCCCGGCTCCCAGTCCCTAGGAAGAAAAAGCCATATGTGCCAGCATTCACGGCCCTGCATGGCCCGAACCCGCCCACCTTCCCAGGCACACGCTTCCACGCGCTTCCACACACACACGTGCTTCCACGCGCACACACATGCGCAACACACACTGCCTCCAATCAGCGCTGCTCAGGGTCCGCTCTACAGACCTGAGCTCGGCTCTGAACGGCCATGTGTCCACGGCAATGAGTATAGGCACCAAGAGGGAAATTTTAAACATTTTATACAGTTACTGTATGTCTGTTGACTCTAATAATACTGGGGCTTACATTTTGTATTTCCTTCCCCGACCCAGTTTTCAAATCATTTTTATTGTATTTTACAAAAACAGTCATTCCACAGTGGATTAGAAATGTAAATGCGAACAAAGGAGAAAACCCTGGGCCCAGCCCGAGGCGAACACGGGAGGCACGGCTCTGGCTTCCACACCTCCGAGCTCTAGAATCGTCCAGAGAGCGCCAAACCCCGGCCAGTGGGAGTGCCTGCGGGTGGAGCCCCGGCCAGGGCGGTTTCAGAGCCCCCAGAGATCCCATGAGCAGCCGAGGCTGAGCGCCATGCTCTGCCCAGCTGGCACACTGCTCTGCCAGGAAACCACTCTGACTTCCCCACCGAAACCTGCTCGCACTCCCCCCCCGCCCCCCACAGTCAGCTCTGGCCCACGCTTTCCCCCGCCCCCTCTGCGTCCTAACTCTGGTGCCTCCCTGCCTGGCCCTGTGTGGTGTGCATGCTCTTCTCCGGGAGCTGGAAGTTACATGACTTTTTTGGATGGCATTCTCTCTGCGCTGTCACTCTGTAAGTTAAATCCAGGTACAATGGGAACAGGCGGGTCGTATGCGCTGGCCACCGTATGCTATGAGAACCTGTTCTTGACAAATTAGGATGAAAAATCAAGTTCTCAGTTTGCTGGAGTGTCTTGTGGCACGCCCCGTCTCCATCCTGAATACGCCCCAACTCGGAATTTCTGGTTGACCCCAAAGGCTGCAGTGAGTCAAAACCCAGAGACACGAGGTGATCTGCTGTGACCACACGGGTCGCTGGCTCTGGGAATGATGAACCTGGTGTCCAGGGATGAGGGACAGCACTCAGGCAGTTCCGGCTGAGCAGCCTGGGTCCCCTTGGGGCCGGGACAGGCCCGGGGTGACTCTGGAAGTGGCCCGGGTCAGCCACACGACTGCAAGCGCTGCCTCGGCCCTGGGCCCTGCTTCACAGTCGCTGGCTAACCAAGGGGAGCTTTCTCTAAAGTGGCACGTGTTCTGAACATTCGTCTTCACAGACATAAATCCTTCAATCTGCAAAAGGAGAACATCTCATGTAGTTGTGGGGAAACAGGCTAGAGTCCAGGTCTAAAGAAGAGACCGGAGGGACAGCCCCTCCAGCCAAGAATTAAGGGCATCATCACCGCAGGGGCAGCCCAGCATGTGGTGAAATGAGAACAGGCAGAGACCAGCCAATAAGGGCCTAAATGTCTCCCTTTTAACTATTCATTACAGTAAAAGGCTAATATGCAAATCAACCAAATGGAGAAACCACCGGTCGCTATGACACACACTGACCACTAGGGGGCAGGCGCTGAATGCAGGAGCTGCCCCCTGGTGGTTAGTGCACTCCCACAGGGGGAGCACCACTCAGCCAGAAGCTGAGCTCACAGCTAGCGAGCGCAGCGGTGGTGGCGGGAGCCTCTCCCACCTCTGCAGCAGTGCTAAGGATGTCCAACTGACAGCTTAGGCCTAAGCCGTCAGTCAGACATCCCCCGAGGGCTCTCGGACTGCGAGCGGGCACAGGCCAGGCTGAGGGACCCCCCTCTCCCGAGTGCATGAATTTCATGCACCAGGCCTCTAGTTCATTATAACTCAGGCCTCTGGCTATCCAAACATGTACTATTTATAGTCCCTTCCGATAGTTATCTATATGAATGCAACCTGACTCAAACACAAAACTCACCCTCTAACAAACAGAAAGCTTCGTACCTGGTCCGTAGTAATGGTCCCCTCCTGGTACCCACGCCCTTGCACGTGGGCTAGACCTCCTCACCTGTTTCTAGTGAACCCAACAGAGACTAAGGGACAGAACGCCACAGAGATGAGGCTCCACAGTCTGTAATGCCATCTTGCTCTCGCTCTTTCCCTGGCTCTTGGCTTTTTTGCTCCAATGGAACTGCCAGGTTCTGAGCCGTCCTGTGGAGAGGCCCACGTGGCAAGGAATGTGGGGCCATGGCCAGCAGCCAGGAGGGAAGGGAGCCCTGCCACACGCGGGAGAGTGGGGAGCAGGCCCCCTGCTCAAGCCTCGTGTGCACGATGGAGCCAGAGGGTCCAGCCAGGTCCTGCTGGGATCCCTGACCCACAGCGACCAGGAGATAATAAATGTATCTTCAGCCACTAAGTTTTGGGGTAATTTGTTATATTGAGATACAGAATAAATGAATGAGAAAGAGACAGCAAACGGAAAGTGTACATGAAAGCCCAGCCAGCATGGCTCTGTGGTTGAACATCGACCTATGAACCAGGAGGTCACGGTTCGATTCCTGGTCAGGGCACATGCCTGGGTTGTGGGCTCGATCCCCAGTAGGGGGCATGCAGGAGGCAGCCAATCAATGATTCTCTCTCATCACTGATATTTCTATCTCTCTCTCCTTCTCCCTTCCTCTCTGAAATCAATAAAAATATATATTTTTTTAAAAAGAAAGAAATGTATGTGGAAAACTTGAATGTTTATGTTGTAATAGTTATGCTAAGATTTGTACTCGCAGTTTCCTCTCAGAATCTTTATGGGCTTTCTCTCCTCATTTCCCTACTTACCGGGGAACTGGCATACTTTCAGTAAGACACCTGCCAACAGCTGCCCGGCCACGCAACACTGGCATGTCGGTGAACGTGGTGCGATTATGACAACAACAGTCACGGTAGTAAATGGCAGCACTGGTTTTAAAAAGCAGCAGCAACCCTCAGGAGCCTGGCTTCAGCACCGGGCACGCAGGAGACTGAGCAGCACAAACGCCGACAGGAGAGCGCGCCCAGGGGCACCCGGAGGCTCCATACGGCTGAAGGCTCCGTCTCCATCAGCTGCATTTGCTGAACAGATTTGTGAATATTTACTAGATGTCAATATTCAAAAAATTCTATTATACAAGTGTGGTCTTTCTGTTGTTAGTAAGACCTGGTGGCCTTGGGAGCCCACTGTAGCCTAATGCATTAAAATGTCCATGTTGCCGCTGGATGAGAGGAGCAATAGAGGACTTCCTGTGAACGCCAGGTACCCCGAGGAGTTCGCACCCACACAGACGTGACACGTTGGAGCTGGAGCACCTCTGTGAGTTAGAGTTTACCATGGAGATGACGTTCGACTCGCGGAAGAATATGCTTTCCGTCTGCCGTGCCTGTTTCTGTCCCTTCGACTGCGCTCAGGAAGAATGAATGAATCGAATAGGACCAACTCTCCTGACCTTCCTTTTTGGACACTGTCTGCTGCGTTTGTTCACGATCCGTTTCTACAGACAATCGCTGACCACCCCACACGCAGCAGGGGAGACAAGATGCCAGGCACCCCCCTCCTTCCTAGAACTTACATGGAAGACACCGTGACGCGTGGGTTTTAAAAACACGGAACCGTCTTATGCAGGAGGGAGTCAGAGCCTCCAGAGGAGCTGGGTAAATGCCAGGGCAGTTCAGAGACCAGGGTTTCCTGGACGGACAAGGTCCCCGGCACAGGCAGTGCCTGCAAGGGCTTTGCCGGATCCCAGACAAGGGCCCCCAGGCCCCGCCCTGCTTCTCTCTCCAGCCCCCTCCCCGCCCTCAGCGGCACCGACTTCCTTTCCTTCCTCGCAAGCCCTGCCTTCCGTGGCCTCCCCAGGCCTTTGCCTCTGCTGTGGTCTTCCTTCTTCCCGGAAGCTTCTGGTTCCCCCATCCTCCGGTTCTGAGGCCTGGTTAGTGCATTCTCGTCCCGGGCCCACGCCCCTCCCTAAGCAGCCAGCTGCCCCTTGGCATGGCAGGAGCCTTTATTCCACTCGTGCGATGGAGGTTCGTCTGTCCGCATTCCACTGCCCTTCCTCACTTCCCCTCCTCCAAAGGGACCAGCCTGAGGCTCCTTAACTCCAGGTGAAGGGAGACTCCTGTGTGAGCCGCTGTGAGCCACGGGAAGGCGCCAGGCCAGGGCAGGGTCTCGGAGGGACTGCAGCAAGAGCGCCCCCTACACATGTGAGGTTCTGATAAGATGGATTGGACTGTTTTTTGTTGTTTTTTTTAAAATATTTTTTATTGATTTTTTTTATAGAGAGGAAGAGAGAGGGATAGAGAGTTAGAAACATTGATGAGAGAGACACATCAATCAGTTGCTTCCTGCACACCTCATACCGGGGATGTGCCCGCAACCAAGGCACATGCCCTTGACCAGAATCGAACCTGGGACCCTTGAGTCCGCAGACCGACGCTCTATCCACTGAGCCAAACCGGTTAGGGCCGGACCGTTTTTTTTTGATGGAAGATTGTACATTAAGTGAAAAAGCAGTTTATAAAACCGTATGTATAATATAATCCCACTTGAGGTATATTTAGAACTGTGTGTGTGTCAACGTGGAAAAGTCTAGAAGGATTCACACTAACAGGTTTAGGATACTGAGTTATCTCTAGGCTGTGTGAGTATGGATAATATTTTACTTTCTGTTATTCACCTGCATTTTCTACTTTTCGCCTATGCACAT